TCTGCAGTGATCTTGGAGCCCAGGAAAATAAAATCTGTCACAACCTCAGATATGCAGATGATACCACTCTCATGGCAGAAAGTGAAGAGGAACTAAAGAGCCTCTTGATGCGGGTGAAGGAGGAGAGCACAGAAGTTGGCTTGAAACTCAACATTAAGAAAACTAAGATCATGGCATCCGGTTCTCTCACTTCCTGGCAAATAGATGTGGAAGAAATGGAGGTAGTGACAGATTTTATTTTCCTGGGCTCCAAGATCACTGCAGACGGGGACTGCAGCCAAGAAATTAAGACACTTGCTCCTGGGGAGGAAAGCTATGGCAAATCTAGACAGCATACTAAAAAGCGGAGACATCACCCTGCCAACAAAGGTGCGTATAGTTAAGGCTATGGTTTTTCCAGTTGCAATGTATGGCTGTGAAAGCTGGACCAAAAATGTTTTAATAAATAAATAAAATAAATAAATAAGGAAGGCTGAGCGCCAAAGGATTGAGGCCTTTGAATTGTGGTGTTGGAGGAGACTCCTGCGAGTCCCTTGGACCGCAAGGTGATCAAACCAGTCAATCCTAGAGATCAACCCTGACTGCTCTTTAGAAGGCCAAATACTTTGGCCACCTAATGAGAAGGAAGGACTCCCTGGAGAAGAGCCTAATGCTGGGAGCAATAGATGGCAAAAGAAGAAGGGGACGGCAGAGAATGAGGTGGCTAAATGGAGTCACTGAAGCAGTTGGTGTGAGCTTAAGTGGACTCCGGGGAATGGTGGAAGGCAGGAAGGCCTGGAGGAATGTTGTCCATGGGGTCGCGATGGGTTGGACATGACTTCGCAACTAACAAAAACCATGTTGGCTGGGGATGACAGGAGTTGTAGACACACATGTGGAGGACACGAGGCTAAGACAGATCAGCTGGGCAACCGCTGGTCCAACTATGGCCCCCCACTTGCTGGATCATCCTCTCCCTTGCTCTGCGAAGGGGTGGTGGCGAGCGGAAAAAGACCAAGTGCCGGCTACTACAGTCATTGGGTGTTGCCACGGGACCCAATCCTCTGCGAAATGCTGCCAAGAGAAAGGGGTGTGTGCAAAACAGCACAAGTGGCAAAGCGGGGCCGAGAGAAGGTCACAGACACTCAGAACTACCACGCTCATCATCCCCAGGACAATGCACACGGAAGGCGCCAAGACTGGCAAGTCGCGATGCCTGGGCCAGCCTTTGCAGGCAGAGGCGGCGGCGCCCCCTCGACCGCCCAGCCATCACGCGCCCCGGCCTCTGAAGGAGGCGCAGCGAACGTGCGGGGCCCCGCAGGCCCGCAATGCGCACTGCCGCCCCGCAACGAGCGGGACACCCACGCAACGACCCCTCTAGGAACGTCCAGGAAAGTCGGCTCTTTGGTAACCCGGAAGAGGAAGCTATGACCGTGCCTTTTGACACTTTAAGTAACAGTGAAGGGGGAGGAGGGGATAGAAAGCGCAATGGAGGTAAGAGAGAAACGCAGAAAGAAAGCTGGGCAGCTGCGAGCAGGAAGACGGGTGCTTCAGCCGGCGGCACACTTAAACTAAAAGGCAGGGTGCGTAAGTAGCGCAGAGACCGCCGCTTCCCCTATGCACGCGCGGGGGGCGGGGCCTCCCGGCTGCTTCCGGAGCGCGCGCGCACTCGACCCCTTCTTTCTCACCTTCTTTCCTTCTCCCAATTTGATGGCCGCTTCGAAAGTTCGGCCCCGGGAGTTCCTTGCTTGCTGATCTTCCCGTGGGGCGTGGGGAGAAGAAGGCAGGGAGCCTCCCGAGACCGAATATTCTCTAAGACCTGCGCGGCCGCCCTGATCGATCACTCCCTCCCTCCCCTGGTGCAGCTGTTCCCCCCGAGAGCCGCAGGCGAGCCTGGCTACGGGCTCCAGGGAAAGCCCGTGCAGAGATTCCACGTGTGCGTGCGCGGGCCCCTGAGCTTCTGTTACCGGTTTTCAACACGGGATTCCCTTGGTGTAGGGCTCAGTTTTCTCTTCCGTGGGTCGGTCCCTAACTGGGACTCGCCGCTTCAGTGGAGACTCGCTGTGCCTTAGAGTGCATCTGTCCCCATAGAAAACTGGTCTATTGGGCGCCGCGTTTTGGCACAGTTTCCAGCTCCTCAGACATGCTAGTTTCTGTGTGTGCTTTTTCACTGGAAAGCATGTCTTCTTTTGAGCTGTAGTTTACGGGATGGAGTAGTATTATGTAGACACGGGTGTGGCATAAGAAATAGCATGGGAAGAATACTGTGTGTAGACACTGCAGAAAGCCTCTTGCAATGTGTGTTCCCATGGAAAAATGGTGAATGCAGAATAAATGTGTAATGCAGTCATATCAAATAAAATGCAGGCTGTATGTCATTTCCTACATAAAGGTGTTGGTTTGGCTTGCAAGAAATGTGTAAAGCCTTTCTTGAGTTAACTGATGATGTGACTAGAATTGGTCTATAAAAATAGGAGATAGGAACATAGTTACAGAGGAGGCCAAGAAGGGAAGAATCATGTCTCAAGGTGATAATAGAAAGCAGTCATTTAAGTTATAAAATGTGTAAGTTGTCTTCAAAGCTTTTGTATGACATCTAATGCAACAAAATAAATGCACAGAGGCCTTTGCAATGCTATTCTGAGGGTTTAAAGCTTTTGTTTTCTAATTTGCCATAATATGTACTGTGTACCTAAAAATTCTCATCAGTATATTGAAGCCATCCCTTATTCTCATGGGACCCTTTCTCACTTCCAAAGCATTAGGCATTGGGCTACCCAAGTGCAATGTTGGGAGAACAACTGGAGGGAAGAATAGTATTGGTGGGCTGCATTTGGCATGGGCACCTGTCAGTTGTACAGACCTATTTGGGGGCATAACTCCTGTCTGAAGCCACATCCTTCCTGAAAAATGTGCATGGCTACTGCATGATAGGGACATTCATTATGTGTTTTGTTAAGAGTAGTGCCTTGGTCTGTTTAGATGTATGTTTGCAGAGATGGACTGAGGTGGTGAAATCAGACTATGTTGCTGGCAGTGACAAAAGCTCAAGTGATGTGGGACTGCAACAGACCTACCTTTAGACTCACGTCTGTCTGCCACAAGCATGCATAAGGAGTGGGGTGGGTGCCTAGTGTTAAGAGCAAAAAGTGGGGATGTGGGTAAGAAGCTGAGCCATCCCCTCTCCTATGTCATACTTCTCTCTGCTCCTGTTATCAGAACCCAGCAGGGGTTCAGGCATATTATGGGGAGTGAAGTCACGTGGGGCAGTTCCTGTGCTGCTTTAGCTCTTAAAATTTGGTCCCTGCTTCATACATGATTGCGGCAGGACTGGTTGTCGTCTCCCATGTTTTGATTGTTCCTCTGTTCTTAGCTTTTCAAATGAAGCAGTGGGAGTTTTGCTGGAGGAGTAATTGTCTTGTAAGTGCTTCAGAATCTTTGTCTACGTACAAATAATGTGGATGGTAAAATTAATTTTAGTGTCTGTAATTGCAAATCAAATGGAATTGTTCTTCCTATTGAAGCTAATCACTGAGTCATTCTTTTAATGTCACAAGTGCAAATGGAATTGTAATGTAATAAATTACGGTTTAATATAAACATGCTTAAAACTTCTATGATGGGTACTTATGATTCTTGTCCACCAATATTATAGAACCACAGGCTCTCATACCTAGGAATTGATTTATTTGACACACTGATTGCACACAACTGTATGGGCTGAAATGTACTTTAAAGTAAGAACATAAGAAGAGCAAAATTGGATCAACCCAAAGGTACATCCAATCCAGCTTTATTTATTATATTTATATCCTGCCTTTTTCCTGCAAGGAACTCAAGAAAGCTTTCATAACCTCTTTCTCCATTTTATCCTCACACTTCTAAGAGTTAGGTCAGGCTGAGAGTCCATGACCAGCATGAAGCCACCCAGTGAGTTCATAGTGGTAGAGTGGGGACTAGAACTAGATGTCCTGAGTCCTCATCCTACATTCTAGCCACTACATCACCCTGGCATTCGGTATTTTGAGTTTTTATTCACAGTCATATTAGTTGACCAAATGAGAGCATGGAGTTTGTGATAAAAGCCACATTTGAACATGGCAGTAGTACATATTTATTTACTTATTACAGTTAGAGACTCCAGCATATAGCCCTAATTAGGGCTATTCCATTAAAATCAACAATAAATAAACGATTCCATAAAATCAACAATGTTACAATAAGGACAGGTGTAGCAGCTGAGAACAAAAATGAAAAGTTCATAAAATATGTGCAATATAAAATATATACAATAAAATGATTAAAATACCTAGAAAATAGAACAGTCTTGGTGCCAAAATGCTAATAATGAAGGTGCCAGGCAAACTTCCTTGAGCAGCCTATTCCACAGGTGAGGTGCAACCACCAAAAAGGCCCTCCTTCTGTTTGTTATCCCTCTCACCTCTTTGGGGGATGGTTCTTTAAGAAGGGTCTCTGATCAGATCTCAAGGAATGGGCAGGCACATGTGGGAGAAGGTGATATTTATAAAGTGCCATCTGCATGCATGGCACATTACAGCATAAGCCAAACAAAAATAGGCTCCTTTCATAAGAACCTGAGAGGGATGAGGACTCCCTGAAATATGACCTTTTTTGATCTTAAGAGTCCTAGCAGGAAGATAGGGTTGATTAAGGAGGCTGATTCTGGCAACACAGTATGCTTCAGATTACAAAAGAGATGACTGAACACCTAATGATTGTTCTGTCAATGACAAAAACCCCTAGTTCTGTTAATGCATAGCTTTTGTAAACTACTAATCCTTGCTGTATGTAAAATGTAAATCATAATTGCTTATGTTTCTGAGTTGTTGTTTGTATTTAAAGTGCTTTGTCCTGGGTGAGTTCTGGTCAACTATTCTAGAACTGTGATTTAAATGACAGGATGATAAAATGTCTCATTGGGTTGCATGCAATGTTTTTAAAAAGTTGTTGCTTTCAAATCTATTCAGTTTTAAGTTAAGATTTTACTTGCAGAATATGTGATGTGTTCCTTGAGCACCAAAAACATCAGTAGCTTGAAATTTATTTACAGGTTATCAATAAGCATGAAAACAGATGAGAGTCCTGCCTGGAAAGCAACCTCTTGCATGTGACATGGTGTTTGAAGTTTCTTTTTCATGTGGATGCAAGGGCCAATGAAAAGGGTAGGTTTTTGAAAGTAGGGAAAAAAACCAGTACAAGCACTATTAGACAAAGATGGGAGAGTTTTGAGTCATTCTTGTATTACTGTGAAATATGATAATATATGGCTTCCACCTCCAATGGAGGGCACTCCTTTGGGTCTGATACTGGTATAGGGATGACAGTGTTCAAGGAGGAATTATGGCCATTCACACCAGAAAAGAACCTTAGCGCTAACTAGGGGTTGGGATATTTTGAATATATGTAATAACAGATGATTTAATGGCATCATGACTTATTGTCCATCCATTACAATGTGTATTATTTGCATGGAATGATTAAGTAACAGGTCTACTTAGTTTGTATCCCCTTCAACAGCACCCTGGAGTCCACAAGCATTAAAAACGGGAACATTGGTTAAAAGTCATATACTCCTTAAGCTTTCCTTTAACACACTCATTCTTGTGAGTCATTTTGTTTCTTTCTGGGGTACTCTAACCAGTTGATACCTCAACTGAAGAGTCACCTCCATTCTTATCATGTCAGTGTGAATACAAATCAATAGTGACTTGACTCTTCTGGAGTATTTCTTGTTGAGAGTCATGCCTAAACAGTGTTTCAGGGCAGTGTAAGTTTAAAGTTCTTAAGACCTTGGCAGAAAGCAATCCATTTTTCTAACCTAAGATGCAGTTTATTTTAAATTTAACAATAATTTGGAGGCAATTTTAATGTCATCTTGAATAATATTGCTGATATTTTGAGGAAATGCCTCTTGGAAGATCATTGGTGTCTAGCTTTTTTTACACTGATTTTGTTTTTATTTTGCAGATGTTTGATCGGACTAAACAAGCTGATGTAGCCTTTTCTGCTTCAGCACAAGGTAAACATTCAGTGGGGAAAAAATACAATCAGAGCATCAGCATTCACTTGGAAGTGTATCTTTTTTGAACTGGCAGTTAATGAAATATGGAAAGCAAAGGCATACCTTGATTTCTTTCCGTTGCGTATCTTTTTTCCCTTTACAGGTATAGGAAGAAAAGGTAATGAAGGCTCTTTACAACAGGAGAGCAGTAGTAGGTAAGTTAGATAGATGTGGAATCAAAGTAAAGCTGTATTTATACTTTTACATCAAGGCGGGGGATTATGTGGACTGCTGCTCCCATCAGTCACATTTATTGGTGAGAGATGATGGGAGTTGTGGTCCAACAACATCTGGCCACATGTTTTGCATCCATATTTTTAAATAAGCTGGTACTTTCAGCCTGTAAAAGTATCTGTTACATTCATGCTCAGATTTCCTACTGGGAACTTGCAATGCCTGATAAAAGAATCTATTGTGCATTTCATTATTCCAGAATATTCTGAGGAAGAAACCTAACTCTACAGGTATGCCTATGTATTATGTGTGGGTTCATGATCATAACCATCTAGGCTAATATACCATCCCATCCTTTAGTAATATATTAAAGGAACTTCACCCTATTATGTAGTCAATCAGTAACTCCCCCCTGCTGGGCAAATGTCTTCACTTGAAAGGTGCATCCTAGGGACTGACCAGGTTGTGGATAGGTTCACCATGCAGCAGACAGCTGAGTTCCTGTAACAGAAAAACAGTCCTAGATCAAATAGGTCAGAGTAAAACTGGTCCTAAAATCTCTTCTCAAAGGAAAGGTCTGATTTATTTTTTCTGTTAATAATAATGGAAATGAAGTGTCTCTAATACTGAAGCAAGATACAGGGCAAGTAGTGAGATGCTCTAAGGCAAAATCCAACCAATTCAGTCCGAATTAGTGGAAAACCTATCAACATAACCATATTTTAGGACTATGCTCCAACAACAGAAGCTGCTGAAGAAGAAATTGAAAACTTTTATGCAGATGATCAAGAGAAATTGATGACATATGAAAACAAGACATGCTGCTAATCCTGGGAAACTGGAATGCAACAGTAGGAAACGAAGCATATTCAAATGTAGTAGGAAAGTATGACCTAGGGGTAAGAAATGAAGCAGAAGAATGATTTGTAGACCTTTGTGAAGCCAATAACCTGTTCACTGCAAACACATACTTCAACAAACCATTCAGATGATTGTATACATAGACTTCATCTGATGGCCTGAACAGAAAGCAAATAGATTATTTACTTATTTATTAGATTTATAGCCCTCTTTTTTTTTCTTACAAACTCATAGTAGCATACATCAGTCTCTTCTTGCACTCCATCTTATCTCCACGACAACAACCTTGTGAGATAGGTTGGGCTGAGAGTCTGCGTCTGACCCAAAGTCACCCAGTTGGCTCTGAGTGGGAACTAGAACCCAGGTCACCTGAGTCTCAGTCCTGTGCTCTTGACCACTAGACCACACTGGATCTCTAATTGGAAGTAGAAGGTAGAGAATCTGCATTCCTGCTGCTGAAACAAGACCAGGAGAAGATTGTGGTAGTAACCATAAGCACCTAATTTCGGAAATCAGAGTCAAGCTAAAAAGATCACTGACGGAAACATAGTGCCAGAAGTAACATTTCTGAAAAAAATAAAGTCCACAGGAGAAACAGATTTTTCACTGTTCAACTTAACTGATCATGAGCTAAAAGAACTCCGAAGTGAAACCAGATTCATTATTAGAGAAGAATACCAAAAGACAATCCCTGTAGCAGCAAGAAAGAAAAAGTCTGCATGGATGACGGAAGAAACACAGTTGTTAAGGACAAGCAAGATGCAGAAGCAAAAGGTGACAGAAATATCAGAATCCTGAATGCAACTTTTCAGAAACTGTCATATAGAGATAAAAAGGACTATTAAGATGATTGGTGCAAAGAAATAGAAGAGAACAACAAAAGGGGAAAAAACGAGACCTCTTTCAGAAGATCCAAGTAATCAAAGGGAAATTCAAGCCTAGATTAGGAATGCTGAAAGACAGATAAAGGAACACACTGTCCAACATGGAGAATATAAAGGTAAGGTGGAAAGACTATACAAAAGAACTGTATAGAAGGGATGACAGACCTCATTGGAGCAGAATTCTATGAAGAAGAACTCTAATATTAGAAAGTGAAGTGAAAGCTGCTCTGAAAACACTTTGAAGGAATAACGTACACAGAGCAGATTGGATTTCAATAGAACTATTCCAAGTTGCAGAAAATGAATAGGTCCAAATCCTAGCAAAAATATGTCAAGAAAGACGGAAAGCAAAACAATGTCCCACAGACTGGAAATGTTCAATATATATATTCCAGTCCCCAAGAGGAGAGATGCAAAAGAGTGTTGCAACCATAGGACCATTGCATTAATCTCCCATGCAAGCAAAGTGATGCACTAAGTGTTGCAACAAGGAATACTACCCTATATGGAGTGAGACTTGCCAGATGTCCAAGCCTATTAATCATGAATGAATTTCCAACATTCAGTTATCACGACCTATCATCACAGGCAGTGATAACTGAATGTTTTTCAGAGGCTGTGATGCCAGTTCTTTGTTTGGTATTCTTTAATCCCTGACAAGTGTTCTGTATGAATAATAGAGTTTGACTATAAAATTTCAAGGTATGTGACCAACCCACAACATTGAAAAGTCAGTACTTCTTCAGAGCAGTCACTCAGAAAACTCTAGTGTTTTCTTCCCCCCCCCCCGCCCCCAAATGATTAAGAAAAGATTTTTGAATGATTAACTATCTAGAGCAGGGGTTGGCCACCTTTAACACTCAAAGAGCCATTTGAACCCCTTTCCCACAGAAAAGAACAGCAGGAGCCGCAAAACCCTTTTGACATCCAAAATGAAGATGACACTGCATATGTTGTTTTTTTACCTTTATGCTGTAGTGTATAAAAAAACTATAGTGTGTTGCATATATGAAATCAATGAACTGCTGTAGAGAAAACAAATTTTTATTTCTGCATGCAACAAAAACATTTTGAACTCCGAAAAAAACGATGCTGGGTTGAAGGTCACTTTCAAATAAAATACTCCATGTCTATTTGAGTCCTCCTCGTATTTATGAAATAAAAAGCTGAACTTAAGTATAAATAATAGTCCAGTGAAATATTGAACAAACATCCCTCTCCTAATGTAATAATGTTGCTGGAATTTTTATAAGAATCTTCTTAAAACAAGGAAGTAGATTTATGTCTTCATTATGATTTAGCTGCAGCTCTTGTTCAGTCACTAAAAACTGTTATTTTTAATCTTACATTATAAACTAGTAGGATTCCTTTCATATATTTTGAATAGGAGAACAGCTTCCTGCAGAGTCAAAGTCAGTGCTAAAGGGCTGCATGCATTAAACAGCAAACCCCATAAGTTTGTCAGCAGTAAAAGCAAATGAATCTCCCCATGTACCATTAAATGTTGGGTTTTCTTCAGAAACTTTTCTTCGATTTATCCATGGTTGGCCTATGGGTGGGGGGAGAAGCTCAGTAAATTGGGTGGATCACAGATACAGGTGTGTTTAGTGACTGATTAGCAGATAAACAGTCAAGTGATGTGGATTGTGACAGGTCCCAAGTGCAGCTTTTAACATTCAGATGAAGGAGATTACGTTTGGACAAAGAGAATCTTTTCAGCAGCTGTTTGGTGTAACATGAGAGCCTGCAGGAAGCTTGTTCCACTCTTTCCCTGCACAATAGCAGAGGAATGTAGCAATTTACTTAGCACTTCCTGAGTGGATGCCTCATCATCACCTATTGGTATTTTGTAACTTGGAGCCTGGGTTGCAGCTCAGCCGCTGTGCCGGTGCGTGTTTTGAGTGACGGAGCTGCAGCAGAGGGATTCAAGAGCCATGTGCGGGTCTGGAGCCGCGGGTTGCTGACCCCTGATCTAGATCATGGGTCTTCAAACTATGGCCCACGGGCCGGATCCGGCCTGCCATGCCCATTTATCCAGCCCGCCATGGAGGTTTTGGACTTGCTGCGCGTGTGTCAAAGTGGCAGCTTGCTCATGCAGAAATCATTTTGGACTTGCTTGGAGAAAAGGATCTTCTTGCGAGCGACCCAGCGCCTTGCTGTGCTTTTAATAGCAACCTGTGGGGCCTGGGTACTAACCAGTTCTGAGATTTCATTTTTTCTCTCTTAAAAGATGTAATTATATATACATTCTTTCAGTTTAGGCAAACAAGGACTTGAACTGGCTGTGCCTGGACACTCTGCTGTGCAGAATAGGCAAGGCTATTGCAACTGTTGCCATGTACACTACAATAATCTTGAACAGGTAGGAAAGTAAGGCCTGGATTCCAACCCACATCCCTGAAAACTCACTTTCCTCTGGCATTTGGAAGGTTTGATCTGATTCTTGGTTACCAGGATGGATCTGAAAGTTTGAAAATGAAGAATGAGAAGGAAGGTTTGCTTCAAAGATGCGGGTTTATTTTTATTTTCGGCTTGAAAATTATAAAAGTTGGTTGAAAATCTGTAACAGAGACGGAGATTGTGGCTCATAATCAGCTTAACCATGCCTTGAGAAAAGTGTGGTTTGAGAAAACGAACAGAATCAAAACCAGTGCTTTAGGTGCACGTATTTTTCTTGGCTGCTTCCTCCTCCTCAGTGATGTTGTTGCTGTCACAGTCCTCAGGAGGGGCTTAAGTTGTTGAGAGAAGCTGCTTACAGCTGCACAGCCTTCCACCTTCTTTTTCTGCCCTCCTCCCAGTATAACTGGGAGGAGAGAATACACATGGGCTAGTGAAGCATTTAGACAAGGAGGCCCCATGCCCTGGAGCTGTTGCTGGGAGTATAACATGATGCTCTCCCTACCTAAGAGTACAAACCATTTGAGAAGATGTGGCAGACGTTCTTAGCTTTTGGGTGCAGGTGAAGAGAGCAGATTACCAACACTACCTGCTGTTTCCTTTCCTTAGTCATTAGTGGTGGCATTGATTGTAATAAAAATAGTGGTAAAGTTTGACAGTGGATGCTAATAAAGAACATCTTTATCTTCTCCTTTTAGCATGTGTACAGCTCCCAGCACAGGCATTTTGCCACTTACTGCAGGAATCGTATGGGTACCACTAGCCTGATGGAGCGTTTCCTGGAAGACGTTTTGCAGCATCATCCGTATAGATACTACGACAACAGGTAGACATTTGGTTTGGTGGCTTATTTGTCTGTTTTATATCATGTGCATAGTGTAGCGTGTTACAGTATAAACATACAGAATTTGTGGCACTTCTTGCTATCTGGGGAGGACACTTTACTTTGAAGAAAGCTGCTGTCAAAAGATGAGAATTGTATTTAACCTAACAATTTGTTTCATATTGGTCTAAGAGAAACAGAAAGATGGCATGGTTATGCAGTTAGAATATGGTGTAAATTGTAAGGTTAAAAAGTATATGAAAACTGCTGAGAACATAGCTTGCTACTTTTGCCATTTATCATCCACACACAATTTCACTGAGAGTATATAGAAGCATGACTTGAAAATCTGAGGTAAGGTGCGTACATGGGGATGATGCTGATACACCACTGGAGCTGGAAGAAGAAAAACATTTAGGAACTCCCAGTTTGCCTGCATAATAGGACTCCCTTCAGCAATTGGGGTTGTAGCCATTACATTGCTTTATCTGTGAGCTTGTATGAATGCCATTCCAATGTCCTTACAAAACATTAAGGACCTTGGCTTTCTATTTACATAGGTTGGATCCAGAGCAGAAGGATTGTTTCTCTTGGCAGAATGAGTTGCAATCCAGTGGAGACTCTGGGGAGAGGGAGGGGGGAGGGAGGGATTTTCTACTGGTTGCTTTTGCAGCCCCCTACAGCATCTCCCACTCTGTTCCACCGGATTCTGCAACCCTACAGTGAAGATTTTTAGGGGCTTGCATGAGGACAGTGAAATCAGCAAAAGTTTCCTCCCATGGGAGGTGTCATGTGAGAAACTGGATCCCAGTCATAGTAGAGTTAAACTGGGTTCTATTACAAAGATTATGTCAATCCTAAATTTTGCTATCTAAGAGTAAAGGGTTTAGATTGAATCTATTTTTCATTGTAGGATGGATGGTTGGAAACCATTACCTTGTGGAAAAATAATTAAAACAACTTTTAAAAAAACCAAGCCAATTCTACAGGCAAATTCACCTATTTCCAAATCCCTGAATGTTGTATCTGATGGCTTCCAGTCTTACAGACAAATAGATTTCCCTGTTTTGGTACATGCCTGTACCTAAAGAACAATGTGGATGAACTGGTTATTAAATAATTCCTTTTGAAATGCATAATTCTTCTAAACACTGGATATGCCTTTTGGTATCAGTGTGTCTTAAGTAAATTCCCAAGCTGTTAACTATGTTGTCAGAAGAAAGGGTTTTTCACAGGTGTCATTTTCATGTTTTATATATTGTGTTTCTTATTTTGGAATATCGTAGCAGATGTACATGGTGGGCATGTCGTGAGCGGAGTCGGCTGGAGCCGGGGGTCAGATTAGATGGCCCAGGAGGCCCCTTCTGACTCATTCTGTTTCTATGTTTCTATTAGTTCCCCCCTGCATTTTACTTCAGTATAATTCTGCTTCTTAAGGGTGTTCACACCTACAGACTCAAAGAAAGAAAGAAAAAGAGGACCAGTAACTTTAATGGCCCTTCAAAAGTCAGTCTTAATCCTTCAAGTTTTTTGAAGATTGGCAATCAGATCTGCATCCTTGCTTTTATATATGTGTGTGTGTGTGTGTGTGTGTGAGTGAGAGTGAGTAAAGGTTTCCCCTTGACGTTACGTCCAGTCATGCCTGACTCTAGGGGACAGTGCTCATCTCCGTTTCCTAGCCGAGGGAGCCAGCGTTTGTCCGCAGACAGTCTCCGTGGTCATGTGGCCGGCATGATTAAACACCAAAGTTCACGGAACGCTGTTACCTGCCCACCAAAGTGGTACCTTTTTATCTACTTGCCATGCTTTCGAACTGAGTGGGAAGGACTGAGATAAATCACTGCTTAGTACAATGTACCCTTTCCTAAATTAATGTAAAGCAGGTTATCAAGGTGTATCTTCTTTGATGTTATAAAATGCTGCATTGAGTTACAAATTAACATTGTTTTACTGGATTAATTTGCATCTTAGCTTAAGAAATACATGAAGGACCATGATTTGCATTTTATTTAAATCAAGAATTTAAAATGATATTTTCTCTTGGTGATTTAAATAAATTAGTCAGATTGCCTCGATTTCATTGAGGGAATATGCTGACAGAGCTTTGAGTGCCCATACTGAAAACTCAATAAAGGTAATGTGAAATTTTTGGTATAAGAAGTGATGAAGGATGGTCTCATGATTCTAACTGGGAAAATTAAGTCATGTAAACATTTATTCTGACTGCTGTGTACCAAGTGCTTATGTTTCTGATGAACTGAGGTAAATACAAGTGTTCTTTAGAGTATAATAAATTCTTTGTCTAAAGAAACAAATTAGAATGAACTGCAGAAGCAAAATGGAAAGGAAGCCAAGATTAAATATGTGAGGGATGCAGACTGGGGAAGCATACCATGCAGCTACAGTTGTCACGCACAAAATGGAAAGAAATCCAGAACACCATCTATTGTTATTTCTGTCTCTTTTCTTGTGGAAGTATATGATCATGGAGGTCCCATTTATTTTGTCAAAAACCTTATGAAATAGGTTAAACTTAGGGGTCTTGTTCAGATCTTACACCTGAGCAAGGTATGGACAAGCCAAGCCTCCCACTGGTTTGTGCGCTCTGCTAAGGATTTTGGAAGCTTTTGCCAACCATAGTTAACAATGGTTAGGTATGTGTCACTTGAAGCAACAAACTGTAGTTAACATTAACTGTTGTTGGTTTAAAATAAGTCATATTTTCTTAAGCTGATTTTTAAAAGCTAACTGTAGCTAATGTTCTGGTTCAGACCTCATGGGAAGCCTCTTAACTAGAAGTGGAAGTGTGCTTCTGAAGTTCTTGGCTGGGTGAGAAGAGGCAAGGGGAGGGTGGAACTTGGAAGCTGAAGAGGGCCTATGGTTGTCCACCATGACTGTCCAGTGTGAAGCCACTGGGCAGTCTTCAGACAGGACCAAGATCGTAAAGAGGTGGTTCAGCAGTGAATCTGATGGATTTTGGTTTCATTTGTCAGTGTAACAGAGTAATTGCTTTAATGCTTGACCAATCTTCTGAAAACATATCTAGTCATAATTAGGGATCAACACAGCTGCATGCTACAAATGCCATATGATTGATTTGGCTTGCAAATTAGCTTAACTTAAAGATTTGGGGTTTTCCAGGATGATAGTTGAAATCTGTACTATAGTCTAACTGTAAACTATAAGATGTAGTTTATGAGTAGAGCCAGTGTGGTGTAGTGGTTTAGAATTAGGCTGCAACTCAGGAGATCCAGGTGCTAATCCCCACTCAGCTACGATGCTTACTGGGTGACTTTGAGTTCCTTCCAGGAAAAAAAAACCCTAAGTAAAACAAACAAACAAATAAATAAATAAATAAATGGTGCTTATTTGATAGGTAAATCCTAGTGTGAAAGGAAGGGTGGAATCCTGTTTAAAAGGATATGGTATTTGAACAGTAAAAGGTAAAGGTAAAGGTTTCCCCTTGACATTACGTCCAGTCATGCCTGACTCTAGGGGGCGGTGCTCATCTCTGTTTCCTAGCCGAGGGAGCCAGCGTTTGTCCGCAGACAGTCTCCGTGGTCATGTGACCAGCATGACTAAACACCGAAGGGTACAGAATGCTGTTACCTGCCCACCCAAGTGGTACCTTTTTATCTACTTGCATTTGCATGCTTTCGAACTGCAAGGTTGGCAGGAGCTGGGATGTAGCAACGGGAACTCACTCCGTTGTGCAGATTCAAACCGGCAACCTTTCGATCAACCAGCCCAGCAGTACAGCGGTTTAAACCACTGTGCCACTTGCAGTATGTGCCTTTTATTTAAATGTAGCCAACATGAACATGTATACACATGTGTGTATATTGTTGAGAGCAGACATGAACCATCTGTGTCCCACACAGCCAAAGCAACCCACTAGTCAAGTATGCCTGGCGATAAGCAGCTTAGTTATTTTCCTATATTTGTTGTCTGGCAGAAATGCAAACTTGGAGGTGGATGTTGTGCTAAGCAGGTGCTTTTGGAGAGGTGGCTCCAGAGATGAGGCAAGACTAGGGATATTTCATCATTGCCTGCCAATCTGGGTCCCTTATCTTGTAGGAGATGGTATTCAGCAAGTAAGAGCTAGTAGCAGGGCTTAAAAGTTAGAGGCAGCTAGGCCATTGCAGAATCCCTTGAAACTTGCGTGCCTGGAAGCTGAGCTGGGGAGAAAGAGGCAGTGATGATATTCTTTCTCCTGTTTGAGGCCTGAGGGGAGCCAAAATTCCTGAGCTTCCTGAATTCCCTCACAGTTGTCAGGCACATTGCACAAGGAAGAACCTCACAAACCACCTTCAGCATGGTAGGTCTCAAGTTGTGCTGGTCTGGCCTAGGGTCTAAGAATATTGAATGCAAATGAGACGATCATATTCTTTGTGGGATTCACTGATTTAATTTTTCTTGTGACTTTCGAAGTCTGGTAATCAAAATTCCTCTGGATATCAGCCTCGAGGTTACCATTGGCACTTCTTAATGTTCAGCTCCTAGAGAGAAATAAACGTATGATTACTTTGAGATAGCTATAATCACATCACCCACATGTAGCAGCCACAAGCCAGTGAGTAGGTCATTCTAATGAATGCAGACTAAAATAGAGTTTTGCTCTAGTACCTGATGTATTATTTATAAAAGTTCACATAGAGAGGGTTTTATTACTTAGTGTTTTATCTGTTATGCTTTCATGTTATGTGCTGCATTGATGGTGGGAAGGATATTTCTACAGATTGCTATTTCATGCTGTGGAGGTTCCCCTTTTTGAAAGGAGAATGCATTGACTCTTAAGCTTCAGAATGTTAACAGAATATGTATAAAACTGTTCAGACTCTCTTTTAAAGCTGATATTCCATTCACTGATTTGGAGCTTAAATCTGAAAGCTGTAAAATGTCAAGGATCCAGAAATGGGTTTGGATTATCCTGCATAACCTGTACTCTTAGAATCATTGATTGATTGATAGCACTTTAATACTGTTTAATATAGAAAGATAGAAACACAGAAACAGAGCGAGTCAGAGGGGGCTTCCTGGACCACTTAGTTTGACCCCCAGCTCTGGCTGGCTCCACTCATGACATGCCTACTGTGCGCATGTCCAGCCTGTCCTTAAACACCCTCATCAATGGGGCTATTTAAGCTTAGTAACTTTTAGACACCCTCAGAATAAGTTAGCTAAACCAGGTTTCCTGCTGGAACTAATTCTAGGCAGATTCCATGAGACTATGAGCTGATTCACACACTATCGCTGATGTACTGAGGGATATTCATGGGCAGCTTCCATTTTGAATATAAGGCTTGCAATGTGTTGTACAAACCCAGCCATTGGGATATTTGAGGGTGTTTCATTAGTGGTAAGGTTATGTAAGGAATGCTTAACTCTGCAAACCCCAAATGCCTCAAGGTTTGAATATTCAAAATGGCAGCTGCACACATTGAGCATGCACTGCGACTCCCGGTGTGGGAGGTGTAGGCCTGGTTCATACAGGGGCATGACTGTCTCATGCAAGCCAGGTCCATGCCTTCTTAAAGTCCCAGTAGAATGCATCCACCCTGTCATAAGAATGCAGACTTTCTTATTTGATATGAGAGGTAATTAAATGTATAACAGAGCTATTATATTGTTTCTAATGTCATTCTAGCATCTTGGTTTTAGCTGATTTAGCTATGTTGTTAGAGGAAAGGAACAAACCCAGAGATTCATCAAGCAGACTGTGGTTTGCTTGTCTGCTAGACAAATCCAGAGTAGAGCAGCAAACCCTAGGTTGAATAAACCATGGGTTGGCTTTGTGCCAAGCAGGTCTCTGTGTCTGTCTATGCACTGATACTGAATATAGTGCATTCACATTCATGTTTGTAAATGTTTCTTATTTTTCATTCTGCCTTTCTTTAAATCAAGGCAGCTTTCAAATTATAGCCATATCCAGTTAGGCTTTTGTAATTTCATACATAACAGGGATGTTTTGCTTCTTCTGAATGAGTGTGAGCTCTGATAGTCACAGAGCCGTTAGTTGCATAATTACCTTAAGCTCTACTGCAGCCAAGAGACAATGCTGCAGCCAGGGCTGAAAGAATGAAGGTTTGGGCTCTTTTATTTGTGCTGTCCTCAAAGTGCACCAGTAGCTCAGAAGAGTATTAATCACCAAGGCAAAGATTCTTGGCAGGAGCAGTAGTTCTGGGAATTGGGTTGCAATCTTTTATATGCAGCAGAATTGGAAAGCTTTTTCTCCCTTCCCCCACCATTCTGCAATTATATTAATGGGTTTGTATGAAACTTTATTGTCCACAAAATTCAAAGTTCACATCTATCAATTATGGAGCAGTTTATAAAATGGTTCTCTTTTGGTCATCTAGTAATCTAGTATGTCTTTCTAGCTATAGTGCCATGTACCCTGTAGTGCTGTTGCTCATTTTATTAACTCTGCTGGCTCTTATTCTCTTAGTTGCACATTCCAGTTTATTGTGAAGCACATTTATAACATTTCTGTGGATTTCCACCCTTCCCCAGACCAACTTACGATGACATGCCAGACTCTGGCCCCCAGCTTCTTCCCAGGGATGAAAGTCTTCTTCCAGTGGAAGTAATGGAGAAAGGGAGGACAGCACGCAGTGGGGAAGAACCAAGCACTGACAGCGGCTTCATTGCAGAATCAGGCTGCCTTCTTTCCCAGAGGTTGCATGAAGAATTGGAGAAGGCTTCCATGACAGTCGCATCCATCCAAAAGCTAGAACAACAAGAACACAGTCTAGGAACTTCACAACAAATGGTGGATTTCCTGAGTATTACAACACCCCCTGTTCCAGCAGAAAGTGCTCTGATTGAAAGTAGTGGCCCTAAAGCCCTGTTTGCAGCTGTAAACCTCTTAGCTCATCCATTACCTGTTAGCCACTCAGCACCCATGCCTCATCCACTTGCAAAACATTCACTAAAGCAAGACTTGGCTTCAGATAATATGTGTGAACAAACGCAGCAGGGCATATGCAATCAAGATGAGTTACTGGATCCAAAGGCAGCCCCTGTTTTGCATTCAGCCAAGTCAAGGACAGTGTCACTGTCACATAAGAGTGCTGTCTCTAATCAAGGCAACTCTTTAATCTCAGGTCAGCTCTTTTTAAAACAAGACTGCTTACAGCCTCAGGATGAAACTCGAATCTCTGACTTCTGTCTCAGGAACACTAGCAACCTTGTGGGTACCAGCAGCAGCCTGGCTTTTCCAACAACTTCCCAATTATCAGGAAAAAATGAAAATAAATCAGATAGAATCACTGAAAATTCTGTGGATGAAATTATTGAAGAAGTCATTCTGAAATATTGCTATGAAACTCCTCCCAAAGAGTTGACTTGCCCAGATGAAGATACTAATTCCTGTATAAATATCCTTCCACTTCTGGGCCAGAGTAGTGTGCATGGTTCAGACATAAGCTTTGATTGTGATGCTGCTGTCCAGCCAGGAGCACTGTTGCCTGAGGCAGCAGTTAAAAATCTAGAACTTCTCAAAGAGGTTCAAATAAACTTACAAGATGAGAACTATGACACTCAGCTCAGTTCCATTCTTCAAAATGGCTTCGTACAGCAAGTAGCAGATGCAGACAAGGATGTGTCAGCTCATAATCAAGAACCTGTCCTTCCAGCTCTGCCCCATGTGCCTCCTTCCTTTGTAGGAAAGACGTGGACCCAGATCATGTATGAGGATGATATGAAAATTGAAGCCCTTGTGCGGGATTTCAGGGAAGGCCGCTTCCGCTGCCACTTTGATACAGAGTCCTCGGCAAACTGTGCAAGGAACAGGCTGAGAAAGAAAAAACAGAAAAATGAAGATAGGATCAGTGCAGCTGCTGCTCACAAAGCAGAGGTTGCATCAGCGAAAGGACTTCCAGAATCCACTGATGTGCTAAGTGATGGTTCTGACTTCAACAATCCACATGAAATCCCAGAAACACAACATATGCCGGAAACATGGAGGAGACCTCAGAAAAGGACTTGGCGACTTGCTTCCAGATGCCAAGTAGTCAAGGTCAGCCATGGCACACAGACCAGCCTGGTGCATTATCCGGTAGTAAAGCAGAAAATTATTAGAAAGGACCGTGAGCTGCCAAATCAGAAAGCAAGCCTTGTTTGGTCTGAGAGTGAGAAGACACCTAGCATGAAAACCAGGCTGTGTGCCCTCAAGCTTCCTGCATCTTATACCAAAATCATGAGCCCTTTACAGCCGCAAACAGTGGTCTATGTTCTTTCTTGTCCAGAGCTGAAGCAGTTTAGAAGCAAACCTGAAGATATTCCCAAAATGAGAAGGAGCCATAGCTCCACTGACAGTAAGGATTCCATACGGTACAAATACAGGCAGAATTCTATTAAGTATTATGATCCATTGACTAATAGGGTTTTAAAAACACCCCCTAAAAGCATTGTTGGTGAAAAGGCACAGAAACCTCCACATGTTCGGCAGCTATTCAGGAGTCTCAACCTTGATGCAAACGGGAAGAAACAAGCTGATGTGCTGTATGAATGCATAGCTCCAAAGCCCTTAAATTCACCAGATTTTCATGGCTTATCAGCATCTTTTATGCTTGACCTGGTTAAGAAAAATGATATGAGTGCACTTCATAAGACAGATGGATCTTCCATCTCCACAGAAAGATCTGAATGTTTGGTATGTAACAGCTCAGAGACATCCTATAAACACGTAGTCTTTTCGCCATTGAACTCTCAGCAATCACAGTGGGAAGGTGATTTTCAATTAGCTCCATTTAAGAAGAAGGAAGTCAAACCTCCTTTGAAGTCAGGTGTGTCTCAGTGTTTAGAAAGAGACAATCCAAAGACAGTATGGCACAGGAAGAAAGGCAATAGTAGAGAACCAGGGATTTCAAGAAAATCTTTGGGATCAGCATTTGTCAGGATTAGGCGAAGTGGTAGGAAACAGCTGCCTAGGACTACAACTCAGCAAAAGGAGGGGTTGGTGAGAAAAATGTCTACCAGGCACCAAAAAAAGACAACTACTGCAGGGAAGCACCTTAAGAAAGAAAAACTTAATGCTCAAAAACTAAAGGTGGCAAGAAAATCCAAGAGGACAGTTTTGGATACTGCAGCCATCATGGCCACTCCTGAAAAAAGGAAGAGAACCACTGCAAGGGACTAAAGGCATAGGAGGTAACTGGAGACAAGGGTGGTCTTTGCACTGTGAAATGAGTTGTATAGAATTGGATTTTGTGTTGCTCTACAAACAGACAAACAAAACAGGCTTAAGGGAGCAAGCTCAAGGTTTTTTTTTTCCTAATCTTTTGATGCACCAGAGCTAGAAATGGAACAAATTCAAGGTTCAGAAATTAGCTAAAACACCTATGAACTGTTCATGTTGCTGCTCTGTGGGCATGATGCACATTGCACTGTTCAGTTATAGAAAAGTTGTGAAACATACTTGCTTGTTGAAAGCACTGAACGCTTCCATGCAACTTTGTCACAGCAGGAAGATCTTGAACTTAAAAATGTATAATTCTATCTTGGTCAAATTTAGTACACTACCTTGCAAAAGTACCTGGTACACAAGACTCAGTTTTCATACCAGGCAGACACAGCCCAAACCACAATGGCTTGGATCCAAAGTCCTGGCTGCTTCAGCAGAAGACATTCCCGCTTGTGTGTGAGGGGGGGGAGGTCTCCTGTTTCCCACCATCTGCACTCTCCTGCGTGTTGTACTCACACACTGTGCAAAGGTGGCTGTGCATGCATGGGCAGCTGCACATTTCGATGGTGACTCAAGCTCAGATAGTGAGGAGGAGATGGTTGTGGAATCTCAGCATGTCCAAACAGTGGATCAGTGTCACCAAATGTCTGAGAAGATATGAGAGGAGGAGTTGGCAGTTTGGGCTGAGGAAAGCCCAGGTCAGTCCACTCATGGGAATGAAAAGATAGGGGAAGAGGAAGGGTTGACAGTTTGGACTGGTGGGAACTCCAGTTTACCAGACCATGGGGAGGACTTGGAGCTGGAAGCTGGACATGTTTCATAGGGGAGTGGAGATAGACAGCTCTCCACTCCAATTGGTCTCTCTCTCCCTCACACATGCATGCACAGGCACACTGGTAGAGATGACTTCAGTTCATGCAGTGGGATCTTTGGATCCAAGCCAATAACTGATAGCAATTAACAGAAGTAGGAGTAAAGTGTGTTAATTTTCTAAGTAATATAAAATAGATTGAAAATCAGTGAGAATAAGGCTGCAGTCCTCTCTAAACCTTTCTGGAAGTCCCTCTTAACATAGTGGGATGTACATGTGATTAAACATGCATTGAGGCTGCATTGTAAATTCTAGACAGAAGTTAGAAATTTGCAAAATTATGTCTCTTCTGTCAGCATGATCTGTGCTAATGAAAAGAAGAGCATCAGGGACCATCATTCTCAAATAAGGGCGACAGTTAAAAGAGAACTGTATTTTTATATTCTTCACACTCCCAGCTGCAAAGGAAAATTGATTATAGCTGCTTAGGCCACAGCACAACTGTTAATCAGAATGTTGCACACAAGCAATATTCCTAAACTTGAAATGTCATGGCAAGTAAATATATAGCATTTTTTGAAAGAAAAAGGTGAGTTATGTCAGATTTTTGTCTGCTCACTGTATGGTTGTGAAATCATCAGAAAGAAGTTCACATAAGCAAATTAAAAGTACTTAAGACAAAAGTTCTGGTAGATACTACTTTATGTTTAAGTAAAAATAGATTTCCACATCTTGGTTTAAGAAGTAACATCGGTTTAGCTAGGTAAGTAAGAGATAAGCATTTTTTGTTTGCATTAGTTTATTTAAATATTTATTTAAATTCAGACTCTTTTATATAATTGTGTATCCCAGGAGACAAATGTTATCTATGTGTTTCTTTTATAACCTACCTAGGATCCAGCTGGACTTGTTCAATTTGGAAACCATCTGTTTTCTTGGAAGAGACCAGCCAGGCATTAACATGAGACTGAATGTTATACTGGATAGTGTATCCGAGGGTGCCATTCTGCAAACTCAGAGAGTGTTAATGGAATGCCACCAAACCTTTCATTTGTGCAACCGCATGTACACGGCACATCATCTGAATGTGCGCTAGTGGAGCATACAGCCCACTCCTGAAAAGTTGTACATCCTCTTGTGCAAGTTGTTGCACAAGCAGAAAGTCAGTTGGATTCTTGCCTTACTTGTAGCTTCTGCAGGCTCATCCTTTATGCTAGCAGAGTGATACCCTTAGATACAGGCCATTGGTGTTCTACGTGCTCAGCTGTTACACGGTTTCATGTAAACGGTTATAGCCGGTTAAGTTTTGGTGCCTCAGTCATTTGATACTGTAATACGAAAGCGATTTTTGAAGCAAGCTCTTGAATTGATAATTTTGTAACAAAGTTACTTTATAAATAAATGTTTTAATACAAAGGTTTCTTTTTGAAAGGCAGGTTCATGTTTTAAAGCAAAATTTTCTGTGTAATCATGGACAAATTTCAAGTTAGCCTATTTTTATGGATAAGAGTGTCTTTTCTACCTAATGTGCCAATTCATTTTTTAATGGTGTATACATGACCGTGTCTGTTCAAAAGATTTTATAAACACTGAGTAGAGTAGCATGTTTCTGACCATCACTAAAGATGACATACTCATGTGTTGTGCTGTTCTTGGACTCCCTTTTTTCCTTCACAACCTTTTCCTTCCCCTTTGAATATTTGCATGAGTCCTTCCGTCTGTCCGTCCGTCCTTCCTTCCTTCCTTCCTTCCTTCCTTCCTTCCTTCCTTCCTTCCTTCCCCCCCTTTGTAAATAGCTTCCTCAAGCAGAGTGATTTTTTTAAAAAAATGGCTATATTTAAGAAAGAATTTTAGTAACGATATATTTTTGCTTTGAAATAAATGAAGACCCATTTCTTACTTTTTTTGGGTAAAGTACAGGGCTTAGAGTGTAAGACAGGGAAAAGTTGTTCAATGTGTACAAAAGTCTACTGTTATTTGTATATATTGCTCCCTGTGATTGTGAAAAGATCTTCTCTGAATGTTTGCTTAACATAAGCAAGGTGGGGAGACCATGACTTTTTGTGATACGGATTTAGTTATAAATATACTTTATCTGTTATGTGTGTGTTTTTAATTTATTATTTTATTACCCAGTCTTTGGAATAGGGCATACTTAAAATTTGACTAAACAAGGTGGAACCCAAAGAGCACTGTATAAAATACCCAAGCACTTTCACATACCACTGTGTCATGCCCAGTTCCTGGCTAAGTATAAGCCAGGTTTTTGGTTCCAGTTCTCAAGGGTTGCCAAACTTCAGCCTTTGAGATTGCAGGCTTTTCATTTCTTTCTTAGAGTCATCAGCAGTGCAAGTAAAATTTCAGTTTGATGGCTCAGAATCAGAAGGGCAGGTCATTTTCTTTTTAGCTTGAGAATTTTGGCATTTTTGTAATGCCCACATCTACTGCCATGCCCCCCATGGGCTTCATATCACGGGTCACATCCTTCCAGTTTCCAACCTCAGCTTGCTGAGCCTTAGAAAACTGGGCAGCCCAAGACTGGAACTCCTCATGTTTCAGCTGAGGCAGCTCTGGAGGATCTTCTGTCTGGAGCAGTTCTCAGGGGGTGGGGTGGGGTGGGATGGGATGGAGTCATATGCATGTGGGGTATTGCATCTTTGCATCTCGAGTATAAATATTACAGGAATAATTTTCTAAGAGGTAGAGCAGAGCTACCAAAGAAGTGTGCATATGACAAACAAATGTTTTATCAAACTTGGATGAGAGCTATGTTTTAAATGACAGGATCAGGATTTTGAGAGGAATTCCTGGGCCACTAGCATATAATGGTTCAGTCTGAAAAATTCTCATCCGAATCCCTGCTATTGGGCCACGACTCACCCTTGCTGCCTCATTCAGTTACTGGCAGGGGTCATTAGGATGCAATCAAGGTGCAAAGGAGAAGAGATAAAATCTGGCCTTCAGTACTGAAATCTGAGATCTGATCACTTTCATATATTCAGTGGAATGATCAGGGTGGTACTTCTGGGTCATAACTCCAAGCCCTACTCAGGAAAAAGAAGTGGGGAATCCTAAAGGCACCAGGACAAGTTTGTCATATTTTGAAGTAAAAGAACTCATCTCTGTTACCATCTCAAAAGGGAAGGGGCCACAAGTCTGAAATTGCTTATTTATTTATTTATTTATTTAGAACATTTTTATGCCACCCCATTCTCAAAAAGCCTTGGGGCGGCTTACAAAACAAATAATCATACAATTAACCTTAAAAATCCGGAGACATCCTGGCACAGATATAAAAACCAATAAATATAATCAACAATTAATTAAAATATCATTTAAATAAAAAGGTCTTGGCCTGGCGCCGAAAAACAAACAACGATGGCACCAGGTGGACCCCTCCTCTGGGTACTCACCCTCCTAATATCTTTCATGGAGGGTTTCCGGAGAAGGGCCTCTGCCGCTGATCTCAAGGGATGGGAGGGCATATATGGATGCAAACGCTTCTTTAGATAACCAGGTCCCAAGCCGATGAGGGCTTTGTAGGTGATAACCAACACCTTGAATTGGGCCTGGACTTCAATGGGAAGCCAGTGAAGCTGATAGAGGACTGGGGTTATATGAGAACAACGCCCAGTCCCCGTCAGCAACCTGGCAGCTCTGTTTTGCACCAATTGAAGTATCCGGACCGTCTTCAACTACTGTTGCATCTTTGTTTTATTCACTTCACACTTTAATCATAAAAGCAGCATTATAGGGTTCTTTTGGGTCGTGCTTATTTTCATATTTCTCTCTCACCTTTATTTTGATGGTTTACTGTTTGCATATTCAGCCAACAAAGTGGGAACTTTTTCCACTTCTCCAATAAATGGTACCATCTAAATGATTTCTTGTTGCAAACTATAATGTAAAATTGTAATTACTGAATGCTGATTAATAAAACTAGGTTGGGTTTGAAAAAGGTACCTATTTTGTAGTGTAAGCAGAACTTAATGCTTTGTTTGAAATGTGGTTTGTTGTAACTCATGTCTCGAATTATACTTGCGTTCAGCTGATAAGTAGGCAAGCACATGCAAAGTCTAACTTAGTTTTCCATTTTTTCTTTGCTTGTAATATTTTACAGTTATTTGTTCCTTTCATAAAATCTGGAAGAAAAGAAAAAACACTTTCTTCAAATAAAAGAACAATTGGAATTGGTATTGTATATTTTTGTGTATCTGTGCTGTTTTGTTTATTTAAGCCCAAGTGTGCTACAGTATGTTTCCCTATTTCACATCTAGATTGCCCAATAACCAGAGTTCTTGGTGGCTTTTAGACCATTTTGGCTGGGGATGGTAGGAATTGTAGTGTAACATGTCTGGAAAGCGTTAGGTTGGGACTGTTGGCAGAATCTGCTTTGAGAAGAGTTTGCCTCATGGGTAACATACTCTGATCTAATTAATCTGTACAACTCCCTTTCTATTTACAATTGCATAACACCCCATGGGAACCATAGCAGTTGTCTATGCAGGAAACAAATGCTAGGAAATAACTAGTTTTTGAACAATATTTGTTTCTAGTTGGATGGTACTGGGAAACCAGCTCATGCTGAAGGTATTCATAATGATCCCCAATTCTCTGTCTAAAAGTATCTCCTGTACACAGCTTTGGAGCTTGGCCTATTGCCTCTGTAAACCACTAAATATTTGGCTGTGGAAAAAGAATGACATTGCACTACTCAGATGCTTCACATTTGTTTGTGTCAAATAACACCAGACTACAGCACAATTACTGTAAACCAAATGCAACAGTATCTCACAAGCCCACTCCTTACAGTTGTCTTTTTGCCTGCCAACCTTCTCATATGTTGGTCATGGTCATTTCAAATTTCTCTATGCGATCCTGCCCCTGTAACAAACCTCCATAGGAATTGCATGTTTGACAGCAATTTCTAACTTAGAAAGGCAGAAGACACAGTTTAAAACAAGAAAAATCTAGGAAGTTCTCCCAAGCAAGTCAGTGCTAAGCCTGCAGGTGCCATTTTCCAAAAGGGTTGCTGCTGATCCTTGCACATTATGTTCTCATGACCCATAAAATGTAAATTACAGGTTTTGGAATGTAAATGCCACAACCAGCTCAAAGAGGTAGAAATTGCTGTCAGATACGATTTCAATGGAATTCTGTTGCAGAGATGACCTGAAGGGTTCAGGAGAATGTTGGCTGAGATAAGGCTTCATATTATTTGGATGTTGTCCTTGGCTTCAAGGCTTCATATCATTTGGATGTTGTCCTTGGCTTCAGCGAATCATGGTGTGTGTAGTCTTCAGAGGAAATGCATACAATGACTCCTGCTGAGATTTTGTAATGAAAATCAGTGACAGGCTGGGGTGCAGAAATTGAATGTGTTTGTGGGCATTTCACTCTTTCCTTCCCAGCCCATTACACACACAAAATCATTTCTTCAGGTTAATTTTTAGGCTGCCTTTCAGAGTGAAACCCTCTCAGCCCCACATTTTGCTTTCCACTCATACAGTGAGGGGGCAGAGAGAGTTGAGCACCAGTATCTTTCCTTCCACCTCTCCCTGGGAAGGAAAAACACAGATTTAAGCAGCCCTTCCCACCATTCCTTCCCTCACACTGGCAGCCTCCCCTAAACTTCTTTCCATTGAATACACTTTGCATGGATGCAAGCATGCACAGCCGGGATACAGGACGCAGCCTGCCCACCTCCCTCATAGAGACATTAGCCTCAAATGAAACACAGATGGGTGGAGTCCCAGCCCCATGAGAATCAGAAGGAACTGATGTTGGAGAATGCCTGCATCATCTTAGACTGGACTGTGCACACAAGGATGAATGGATCCCATCAAAGCATGCTAGGGAGAAATCAAAGAACAGGGTTCTTATTGGAGGTTCAGGTATCCAGTGAAGTTTATGCATTTTAAAACACTTGGCTATCCAAATTAATGGACTTAAATGACAAGAGGGAAGATTGGGGAACATTTCATACACTCTCACACACACACAAGTTCATAGGCTTGTTCATATGAAGAGCAATGGTAGGGGTAATTCTGTTGGGGGGGGGGCATGTACTACTACACTGTACCACCATTGGGGTTAAGACATGATGTATTTTCAAAGGCAGGGAAAGGCAAAGGTCAAGCATGAGTTTTAGCCTTCCCTGTGATTAAACATGGTGGCTTTTACATAAGCTTTTTAAAAGTCACATTTGGCTCATGGCTTTTCCATGTCTATTCTTCCATCTTCAGGCTGTATATCATTTTGATCCTGAAAGCTTGTCATTTCTGAATCCCTGCCAGAATCATGTTCCTTTAGTTTTATGGAGTCTGCATTCTCCAGTCAAGATAACGGTGCCGCCAAAGTCAGCATTTTTTGCCTCTCTCTAATTAGCTAATGTTCACAGACTGTCTTGAGGACATAAAGGACTTCTTAATACGTGCTCAAGAATCTGGGGACTTTAAAACACTTCATTTGCTTTAGCATCCCCTCAGCTGAAACTTCTATCATCAGTGATGTGTATGTAATGATGGCACAGAAGTAGCATTCTGGTGTTCTGCACAGCTATAGAGCGAAGTGTCCTATTTTTAGAAGGTTCTCTGCAGGTTCGATTTCATGAAGAGCTTCTCTGTGTGTTTTATCTTGCTTTCAAAAAGCAAAAAGAAGTGATTAACCTCTCTAGTGCCCAAGTCAAGGTAATGGCATTATGGCATCAGCTCCCAGACTGAAGGCAGAGAAGGCAGCAGCTGGAAGAGGAGGCATGTGTCAAAATGAGAAGGATGGCAGTGAAGGAGAGATTTTGGACAAGAAAGGGAAGGCATAACTCCGTAGCACCACTTGGCTGCTCAGGAGAGTTGGAGGACTCCCAGAAAACTGGGAGTGTGAAGTTGCACTGACCACTGAAGGGGGAGTAAGTGAAAAATGTCTTCCCACCAGCAGGGTGTTTTCACTGAAACTCTACCCCTTCCACCTAACGAAGGGCAGGTCTGGATCAAAGCCTATGTATGATAATAGTCGATGAACATCTTACTCATGGCTATTCAGCCCCAACCATGCATGTGTGCATAGTAATACAAATAGAGACTCATAGTTGCTATACTAGAAGCA